CACTGTATAGCTCGGTGACTTCTAGGTGAGTTTTTAAAATATGTATATATATTATATAATGACACCCCTTGACTTCTTGGTGAGTTTGTTTCTTTATATTTTGACTCCCCTTAATGAAAATCCTGGCTCCGCCACTGCCCTCACTATATAAAGAAACTATCGGCACATAACAAATGGGGCAAAAAATAAAAACCATGGCATATTAACTGTAGGATGAAAAAAGTACTGATAATAACTATACATCCAACTTTTTTTTTTTGAGAATGATCTACACATCCCAACTTCTCGAGAACCAAGAAATATGTAGAACAGGGACATGCTTAACTCAACCAGTAATTTGCATACTTATGAATCTCTGCAGTAGGAACCATACCGTAAGTAACTTGTACAATATGGATTCGACATCTTCACCAACATATCCAGCCTGTAAGATAGCAAAAAGTGTTTCTCAGTTGGACGTCAAGAAGTAAATTCAGAAAGAACCAGCACCCAGTGGAAATGATCAACTAAAAAGTATTTCCAATTAATGTTCTGTGCTTGTACTCTCATATTGGAGCTTAAAATAACAAGAAAGAAGCTATTCTAATTTTTAGATGCAAGTGCCGCTTGGGAACAAGTTAAATCCAGATATAATGGGAGAAACTTGATACTATTTTCTAATCATTTCTAGACTCTATTTTCTCAGCACATATTCAAGTATTGATTGGAAATTTATCACTCTATATATCCCTTTCCTACTTGCGTTACTAACAAATTTAAAATACTTATGTATGATTTACTTTGTTTTGTATAATAGTATATTATTGTAAGTTAAGAGAGACTCCACAGTCCACCCATTTATTCTTCACTAAATAAGAAGAGAAACAATCAAAGTGGGAAAAGTTCAAATCAAAATAGCATCTTACTTGCCTGTGTTAAGGTTGTTGCATCTGCAATAACAAAAGGCACATTCACAAAGCGTGCAAGTGTTTTCGCAAGTAGTGTTTTCCCTGTTCCAAAAACGGTGTTAGAAAGTTTCAAGTTTCACAAATTCTCCCACAAAAGTAAGCAATTTTCAACTAAAAATATTATTGGTTTGTGAGGCTACACATTAGTTTAAGGAAGCTACAAACAGAACCACAAAATGAAAATGGGCACATTCTTAAAACAATCTGTAGTTATTGCAATTCTTAGTGTGTTACAGAAAATTAACTCTTGTTGGAGAATAAGGACGAGCAAAAGAGAAGAAAGTCCCATTCATCCTTGTTCAGTTGGCAGACAAAACAAGAAATAGCGGACAAGGTGTTCAGATGAAGAAAGAATCAGTGTCTGTGAGGAGAAAATGTTTTCTCATGACTTTCTTTTCTTCTTATCATTTTTCATTTAACAAAGAGGGGAACTAAAGTTTCCACATCCCCTTCCTTTCTCTTACAGTCCCCACTTTCGGAACATCGTAAGTTATAAGGTTCTCAATTTTGGAACATCCCTGCTAACAAGCAATATGAACTGACAAAAGCTCTCAACGTTTCCAAGGCTAAACATAGGTTTAAGGAAGCAACAGACAAAGAACCAGAATGAGAAAAGCCACGTTCACTAAAGAACTAAGGAATTGAAAGTAGTTCTTTTTTGAAATGGTTAGTAAAAGTTAGTAATCACGAACACTAAGATGGTGCTGAATGTTACAATTGTAGCCTCACAAAAACCCAGTTCCACCACTAATCAGTGAGAGAACTGATGAAATTTATGAGCCAAGGACTTGCAAGTAGTTTTTCCCTGTTTCAGGGAAACTTAAGCCAGACTGCTTCCAGTATTGGAACTTCTATCAGCTGACAATCTCTGGAAGTTTCTAAGGTTACAGATTTGCATAAGTAACTGACTGAAAGTACAAGAATGGTATGCAGATTTTTACCTGATCCAGTAGGCCCCATCAAAAGCACGTTGCTTTTTTCCAGTTCCACATTTTCTTCACTATCATCCCTCGCTGATTCTGCTCCAGACCTAACACAGAAGTATATATAATAATGGTTCATATAGAGAAAATAAAGCTAAGAAAGAAAGGCAAGACAAACTAGATGATAGAATATTCAACATGATACAAAGATATCGAAATTTAGAGGGAAATGCACTGGTCAACATTAAGTCTTCAATAAATCATGAGCTAATGGACTAACCCTTTCTGCAATGAAGCATGGTAAATCCTTTTGTAGTGATTATAAACACCCACTGAAAGCACCTGCCAAATGAATCACTTGTGAAAAAACAACTCAAAGATCCGATACAAGTTAGAAGCCAGAGGCGGATCTAGGATTTAAATCCTATGAGTTCAACCTTTAAGGATTTTATTATTGAACCCATTATATTTTCAAAGCTATGAGTTCATATCTACTATTTGTTGCAATTTCAGTGGATTTTTACGCATAAATTTGTACTCCGCCTCGAAAGTTATGAGATAATGCTGCATCCGCCCCTGTTAGAAGCATTTATTCCATGTAGGACATATTGTGCAAACAATGACTTAAATGAAAGTTTACCCTTTTCTCCGTCTCTAAAGTAGGATAAGAGTGACAAATAAAAGATTATGCCTGAAGCTCATAAGCATCAAAGGCCAATTTAACATCTGATTTCCGCGAATAAGCATTCTAGATATGCATCTCCTTTGGCATAACAGAGACTAATAATATGAAAATGCTACTGATTGACGTTGCGAGTTAAAAGTTAACCAGTATATAGTGATCAATTCAGTTGCTTGATCACAGTTATGAAGTTTCAGTATTGTGTAGTGCAATGAATAATGTCAATGACTATAAAGGCTTAAAAGAATAAGAAGAATTAAAAAAAGAACCTTTTTTGCACGCTCTTGACCTATGACAAATTTATCAAGTCCCTTGCAGATCTCCTTTGGCGTTGGCAAATTCTTCCCCAAATTAGACCCGCCCCACCCACTCTTCTCTTCACTACCTTCATCTGTGCCGCCATTTTTTCCCTCTGGTCCAGCAGCCCGTATCAGATTGAGTCCAGGTGCAAATGGTGGGCCTGGAGGTGTATGCACCGCCAGCCCATTACCCGGTGGCGGAGGTGGTGGCCAATTTTCAGGTGGCTCACCACCGTAGGATTTCAACGACTCCCAAAAGGAAGGCCTCAGCCTCTTATTCTCTTCATCACTATTATTCATTCTTTTACCATTACCATTGCCTTTCACTCTCCCAATTTCAAAGAAACTACCTTGAAGTGGTGCCATCTTGTTGGGCCTGAAGTAGTAAGCCGTTTTACAATTGGGGCAAAGATTCACTGCCTGGTAAGGACCACCTGCACCTGCTTCACTTTTTAAATTACTAGCAGCAGCAGCGGCACTATTTTCATTGCTATTATTAGTTTTATCATCGTCGTTAGTAGGAGGAGGGATGAGGTGGTGATTACGATTACTGAATAGAAGATCCATGTGTTTAGAGCAACGAGGGCAATAAGCCTCTGCCCTAATCCTTCTCGGAGAAGTGCGATACTCATCGGAGGAACCGCCCCGGTCCCACTTGTACCTTGCTTGTACCCCGATGAGAGACTCTCTCCGCTTCACGTGAGAACCCACGTGCAGCCAATTCACGTATGTTCGATGCTGCTGTTGTTGTTCCTCTTGTTGAATTGAGGTTATTGTCCTCGTAATCGCCGTTGTCGTTGTTGTTCTCCTCCTCCTCGTAACAGGTGAGTGTCTTAGATTTCTCCATCTCCATATTCCGGACATCGTCTACCTCCTCAGCTGCTCTTGTTCTTCTTCAATCCAGAGAATTGAATTAATATCAATTAACATAAATTAAAAAGATGTGAGATTGGGATCTGTGAAGAAGATTATAATAGTATTATTATTATTATTGAGTGATAAAATGGCGAAAGAGTATAACTGAAGATGCTGTACTGTATTTCTGCGATATAGTATTGAAAAATGAAAAGAAGATAAAGGTAAGAGTTTTTGTAGGAATGCAAAAAAGAAAGTCACATTGCAGTTTTCTACTTAAAAAAAAAATTGAGAAGGTAATGGACAAAACTTCAGTTTTGAGTTTTGACCGCGTCCTAATTCATTTCTCACTTCTAACTCCCCACGACACCCACGCAAACCACCCACTTAGCGATGCTGCCTCTGTGAACTACCGCGGTTGATGTTGATTGTTGTTGGTGTCCATTTTTTTTTTAAGTAAATTAATTTAGGCAATATTGTAATATAGTTTAATTTTAATTGTGGAGACATAATGCGTTTTAAAACCAAGCATGTAAAATCTGTAAAAGAATCTCCCATTTTATTTAATGTCGTTTTTCTTTTTTGGTTTGCTCCTTTAAAAAGTAAATTATATACAAGGATAGTCCTAAAATGATCTTTTCTTTATTTATTCCAAGAAAAAGAAAAAATGATGCATTTCTATATTATAATAACATTTCATTTTACTTTCAAAACGAAGATGTTTGGTTGAAACTTGAAAATGTGGAACGGTCAGTGTCAATGTTTAGGTTTATAGTTCGATTCATGATGCCACATTCAAACCAACTTCTTTGGCTCAAGTCTAGTTGTTGATCCTATTATTCAACCTCCCATTTTTTCAAATGTCCTAATATTAGACAAGCCGTATTCGTAGAGATGAACTCATAACATACTCATTTTGTATTAAAATTTAGATATATCTTTCAAATTCATTTCATCATAATAGCAGCGATAGCGATTAGTATTTAAATGTAAGACCAACTTCAAATGTCTTCCCAATTGATTTTTCAAGATCATAAAATGGAAAATAATTACTATCCCTACTACAAAGCTTTATAGACAATCATTTTCTATGAACCAATCCTATTACCATTATAAATTTATTGATTTATGCACTCTATTGCTTCTCTTTGTTTAGACAGTTAACATTACATGTTGTATTTTCAAATTGACGGCAGAATGAAGAAGATTCAACACTTCTTCCTACCTACCATTTGCAGTTCAGGTGACAAGTTCCCACAAAGACCCAATTTGCTTGTGTTTGTCTTTTCACAGGTGATTCCAAACTTTGCCTTCGTCATAACACCAGGCATTCTTAATAGAATTTCAGTCGCTATATAACACCCCAATCATATAGCAACAGACTGTCCACAGATGAAGTGTGATGGGCATAAATAAAACCACCACCATCTTACAGATAGAGTTAGTGGTTGTGAGAAAAAGGAATTCAGTAATTCTTGCTACAAATAACTCACATCTTCAAGAAAACTATAGCACATTATCAATGTCATAGGGCACAATAATCTTTCAGTATTTGTCTTGCCAGGTCAAATGCTCCACTCTTTTTGTAAATCAAGTGCAAGTTGTATGCTGCTTCTCTGCGAAGATCACAGTAACCTGGTTTTCTGTTTTCGACAAGATCTGGGTTCTCATTAGGCAGCTTTGGGATGGGATAATCATTTTCGTGAGTGTCAAGTACCCTTTGATAATATATGGCAGCTAGAGAAACAAGACCAACATGATGATATGCTCGACCAATATTATACATTGCTTCCTGCAAAAGAAATTCAAGGAGTTCCTTTAGATGCCCCAACACTTCCTGTGTTGATGTAAAAGAAAATATTAAATATAGCTCATTACCAAAAAAGTCATATTTCAAATTGGACTAATAAAAAGCAGACATCAGACTTAAAGAAAAGAAGGCTAGGCAAGTTCAAAGTGTAACCTGTCTGTTTCCTGAAAGCCTCAAATTATTATACAGGAAAGCCATTCCCTGTAGTATACACTGATGCTTGTTATGAAGTCTGAATCCAAGAGCTACATTTATTAACGCGGTTCCTGGAAACGAAGGCAAACGTTAAACTTGCAAATTGATATCACGAAAGATAAAGACTGCGTCAACTCTGCCTTCTTTTATTTGGTTGCTAGAAGAAACCCATACCCGCACAGAGATTTATCAATTGATTATCTGTCATCAGCTTATAGGCTTCTAAATATTCTCTAGCCGCTGCTTGATGCTGGCTGATCGTGGTAAACTGGTGTCCAGCAATAATAATTGGTGGTACGCAATCTTTGTGTTTGGTACGCATATTATGCAAGAACTTGTTATGTTTTGAATACCGAATATCTAGTCTGCACATGATCATCCATAGTAAAATTAACAAATTAAAATACAAAACAAAAATAAGATCAAGCAGTCGTAAATTTGTAAAATAAAGGGTTCTCTTCTTGATTTGTTGAGAAAGTTCTCTTTTATATCTTAAAAGGCTTCAAATCTTATTTTGGACAAGATTCACTGTACTCTCAGATCTCTAGTAACTGCTTTACCCTGATGCTAAACTGAAAATACTTTTTTCGGGTATCACAGTTAAGGTTATAAAAGAACTGAATGCAAGAATAGTCAAATCTTAAAACAATATAATTCAACCCAGAATGCTACAGTACATACATTACTAACCTAACTACAGAATATAACATTCAAGAAAATATGGCACGACTACAGAGATGTTTTAGTTTCAAAAAAGCGGTGGACGGGAAAACAATTGAAAGACTAGTAGACCCCTAGGCTGACAACAAACCAACTGAAGTTACTAAGTAACAACTAATTGTTGTAAGTTCCAGTTTGAGAACTGTATTTATTTTCAATGCATAAGAGAGTCCCTCCTTCCCAAACTGAAGAACCCAATTTAGCTAGCCTAAAAATTGATACCAGAAAGTGTGAATACATTCTATTTTCAATTTTAAAGCGCATAGGAAATAGAACTGGAACACATGAAAAGCTTGGAAACCTAAAGATGTCAAAGTGAATTCAAAAATAATATAGAATTTTATTATTATATGTCAATTTAACTTTTTGACAATTGTAAAGTTGAAATTGCTGTTGCAAGAAAGAAGTCAATCGACAGTTTAAAATAAAAATTAGGTCAAACAAAATAGAAAAGGAGCATAAATAAATTATCTTTTGATAGTCTTCATGTGATTCTCAAAATGCTACTGGACAAGCCGGGCTGCTGGAATGCAATACGGCAACGGGGTGGTGAAATAATACAAGATTAGCACAAAGACTAATAAAAGCAAGTGTGAATACATCATTATACTTTAATTTGTTAAGAGTATAGGAAATAATAATGGGAAGATGTAAAAAGCTAGGAAGCTTAAAGATGTCAATTCAAAATAAATATAAAATATTATTCTATTGAAGGAAAGAAGTCAAATAAGGAGCATGAATCAAGCATCTATTGATAGCCTTAATGCGATACACAAAATGGTACTGGACAGGGTGGTGGATACCAACACACACAATGGGGCCCATGTCACTCCATGAATTCTGTGGTGCATTTAGGATGCATAAATCCTACGAACCAACCCCTGCAGGTGCTTGCTGACTGTTACTTAGTCCCCCTAAAATGCCCAAGCGCAAAACAATCCCTAATTAATTTTGTAATGGTGCATGTAACTGTAATAATGTCTTACATCGGTAAATTTATTGTATGCATTATATGAAATATTTCCAACATAATTTACGTACAACACACTTATCTGCACACACTCTTCAATCTCAACACATGGGATTTCAGCAGAATCAGTGAGTGCAAACAAACATTTACTGACAGTTAATTTCCTCTATTATTCCAAATAGCGAGTTAATGCAAAAGCAGGACAAAGCACCTGTTATAGAACAAGGGAAACAGAAACTGGTTCAACTAGCATGACACATTCGAACAATGCCAACTACGAAAGTAGACGAGTGTTCAGAATACTGACAGAAATTCTGCTGATACCTTGATATAACTTTGTAGTAGCAATTCCATGCTGCAAAGCTATAAGGATGCTGACTGACAATATAACGAGCACAATCGAACCCACGGGTGGGATCAGCAATGTTATATCCTACTTCTGCAAGACAGAAAAAGAACGTTTTAACAAGCACGCATCTTTATCTTTCACTTCACGACATTACTCAGCCAAGTATATCTGAACCTGTCAATATAAGTCTCAATGTAGTTAATACAGAACAGAAGCAAAGGGAGAGAGTGCTAACACTACAAGCTGAAACTTACGAGCTCCTAGAGCTTGAAGCTCCCCTTTCTTCTCAACAGACAACGTGCCACATGCCAATTTAAGACAGAGATTAATGATCTCCAGTGCATCCCAATACCGTTGCAAGGATATTAACACCTTGCACAGCTACAAAAAGAAATCTAATGTTAAAATTTCCAGTCCGCACATACAAAAGGGCCAAGAATCAGAAGGAATTTAGCATTAAAATGTCCCTTACAAAAAAATATGTAGTCTTATCCAACTAAAACATGTAAAAAGGACATCTCAGACCTCTGATTAGCTTAAATGACCGTATCTAGTACTGACATAAAAATTGTAAGCATGAGTATTTACGAAAAGAATAAACATAATAAGTGCATTAATGCCTGAAAACGGAACAAGGGCAGTAATCACATGAGACAAACATGTTCATTAAAGAAAAGAAAGAAAAAGAAAAAGAAAGGAAAGGAAGTGGGAAAAACTAAAAGACAGATGGATGGGAAGCAAGAAATACTAACATCTATGATGAGACACAGGTGCTCCTCGTCTTTTAGAAGATTTGGTAGTGGAGGCTCTCGGTATGCATGCCCCTCAAGAAACAAGATAACATACAAGAAAAAAGGAAGTATTAGGTCAAAATCAAGGGTTTAAACAGTTTACAATATGTTACTTTACAGAAGAAACGGGCTATAAGCTTCTCACAGGAGACTCGCTGTCCGAATCGTCACTTTTCCAGTTAGCTCCAGCAGCCAAAGCTGCAGCTTTTTTTGCTTCCTTTAACATTTCTTTCTTCTGAAGTAATTTTCTGGCTCTTGCAGCTTTTGACCTATCAAAAAGCCACAAAATTAGTTATTTGCACAGACATTACCGGCCAGTAATCGGTGTTACAGATCATTATAAACATTACAGACATGATCAACAAGATTGCACTGGCAAACTCATGCGTAGAGTTGCTCGAAGGTAAGTTAGGTATGTTTATGAAAAGAATGAGCTTGGAAAAGACTAAGGAAAGATTCCCAAAAGGGAAACAAGAAAATGAAAATGGCCAATTTAACAAATTTCAAATTCCACAACTCGACTCCTGAAACAGCTTGGTTGAATACTTTTGCCCGTAGAATCTTCAGTTAAGGAGTGGAAAGAAAAAGCAGAACATGGTAAAATTAAAACTCACAGATCAGATGCCAAAGCTAAAGGCCTAAAGCCATGAAAGACGGTATCAGTTTGGTGATCATCCACAACCTTGATTCTTTGAAATAGAACACTTTTAGACAGCCTTTTCCGCACTTTAACCTAAAAAGTAGATCAACCAATTAAAAGGAATAAAGTTAGTTAGATACAAGGTAATCTCTGGGAGTTCAAATGATGCTATCACATGGACATTTATTAAAGATGATTAAATAACCTGAATTAAAAGTAAATGCAGATATTTACCAATTAAAAGAAAAGGTAAATGCACATATTTTTCCAGTAGGGTTATGACTTGTGCTTGAGTCCATTTGTGTAATAATTATGGACATCTCTAAAAAGCAATTTGCTTATGCAACTAGGCTACCCATATCCAAGATGAATTTGACCTTGCATGCACCAATTTACTTACTTCAAGAAAAAATCCTTGATACACTACTGATGGTTTGGTAGACGGAAAAAATGAATAAAGTGGTCATTGTATGACATATAACAGACAGTTTACGAGTGTTAATATACCTCCCCTCAATAAATATTGCCTCTTCCATAATGCTAAGTTGTTTCTCAAATTTTGGAATAACCAAATCACAAGCCCACTAGTTTTTATATTTTGCACAAAACGGTAAACCAATTTATGTCACTGGAACTGATGCAGTACTGCATTTAAGTATCCATGCCAAGTTAAATAGCTGAGGATTTTCAGTAAGGCACTATTAGGCAGATGGTTATGGAGGTTTGGGAGAGAGGAACATGATTTTTGGAGAGAGATGAAAACATAAAAATACAGGGTCTTGGAAGGGGCTTGGAGGATTAAAAGAGTAACTATGCCTAGTTGTGGGGTGTGAAGGAACAAGCTTTTGGGGACACAGGTGATGTGGGGACAATATTTTGAGATTACATTTCCTAACATTTACTGAATTTAATTTTTGTGCTGATGGAGCGAAAGAAATGCAAGGTGTTTTTAAGAGCAAAATTCTTTACAAAAAGTTAGCTGAACTGTATTTTGTCCTTTCATTTTTGGTGTAAAGAATTCTGTGCAGATGAAACTGAAACTTTACTACAGTTTTAAGAGTCCTTGTAAGAAGAATCTAGGACATGATGTACTTTTGGTCTTTTGTAAATATGGTTACCAGAACAATCATTGTGCTGATGAATATACTTATACTGTTACCTTTCTCAAAAAAAAAAAAACATTGATGGAATTTCATGTCAAAAGGAGATGATAGTCCAATGAATCCAGAGGATACAAGATGGAGATATTTTTCTGGATTTAAGGTTTAGGAGGAACTTTCAAGACTGTGAAGTAGCAGAATTTCAAAACCTAGTAGATTTACTTCACCGGCAAGGAACATCACATGATAATTATGATGTACAGAGGTGGGGGTCGAGGAACAATGGAGTATTTTCGGCTAAGTCATATCATGAGAAGCTCATGCTTAGTGAGTACCAAATAGATCGATTTGGATTCCAAAGATACGGGGAAATATGTGTTTCTTCACTTGGCTAGCAACAAGAGGGGTGATATTGACGGCCGAGAATCTGAGTAAGAGGAAGGTTACGCACATTAGTAGGAATTTTTTGTGTAATGGCTTGGGATATCTTAAGTTATGTCAGGCATGGTGAAAGAGCTAATGTTCAGTTGGAATTGCGATAGGTGGAAGAGAAGATGCAGCGCATGGAATGTTGCTCTACTAGCTCTTATGTGGGTCGTTTGGAGAGAAAGAAATAGGAGAGCTTCCGAAAGTGTTGAGTTGAACTTTGTACAATTGAGGAATAGCCGTTTATCCCTTTATTCTTTTTGGTGCACTCATGAAGTTCCTTTATATATAAAAGATGGGGTGTCATTCATAAAGAACCATATCTTTTTCTAAGATTTCTACTCTTTTGGTATACTTCTTGTGTATAGGTGTTTTCGTGCCCATACATTCAATAAAATTATTACTTCATCAAAAAAATACCCCTGCCAATCAGTAAAGGTCATTTTTTTAATCAAGTGAAATAGGATTTCATTAATCAAGCATCAGGGATGCAACTGATTGCAAAAACATATCGAAGCTCCTTTCAAAACATCACCGTCCTAACAACTTAAGGAGCTTACAAAATCAAAACGATCTGAAGAACTGTTTACATATAAGTAAAAGATCATTTATTCATAAAACATCAGTACTAGCTTCGTACTGAGAAAGTACAAATTACAACAGTAAGGATTCATGAAATCCAGCAGTACATCAAATATCATTTACAAAAGAAGCCTTAAACCAAATTTTCAGATTCAGGATACATTTATATTTTTTTGAAGCAAGATAATATCATTGAAAGGGGGTCCAATTGTCGGTGAAGAGGAGATCTTAAAGTTAAATGAGATCAAATGATGCAGAGAAGAACAATATCAGAGCAACAATGAGAAAGCGAATATCACCAAAAGAATAGGGGAAGAGGGTGTTTTGGGAACACAAAGTCAATCTTTTTGGACAGACTTTTGGTGAACCAAAATCTGTCCAAAAAGTGTTTTTTTTTAATCACATAGGTGGGTACTAATATTGTAAGAGCTGAAGTTTATATGATTTTTATCATAAATTAGGGTACTAGTAGCCTACTTTTACTAGTAGGGTGACTGAAATGACATTTTTCCTCCTTGCTTCTGCTATTGCAGATTTTCAGGCTGTCCTTTCACCTTTTGGACAGCCCTTGGGTAGTGTTTTGAGCACATAAAGTCAGTCTTTTAGGATGTTAGTTTACAGATATGTATAGTGTAGTCTTGTCCCACATTGGAAGAGGGGTAATATCTTCTTATAGTGTATAGCTATAAATAAGGACCTCTTGTATTGTATTTATCAATCATCCAATATCAATAACATATTTTCTCCCGTGCCTTATCACATGGTATCAGAGCATTAGTGAGAAAAGATCGTTGTGCGTCATTCCAGCGTTAACCGGGAAGAAATAACTTAGTCATCGTGCAATTTTTCCGGTGACCTAAGGCTTGTCTAAGTGAAAGTCACTTTTTGTCGGTGTTGTGCTAAAACCAACACCACCACGAGGTAGATCACCCTCCGACGACCAACCCCTGAAATTTTATCCGGCAGAAAAGCCGTCACGCTCCTCCACGCACCGGCAACAACAACTTTTCCGGCGAGGGTTCCGGCCATTTTTTCGCGAAGCTTCTTCAGGACAGCTTGCTCGCAAAGGAATTCTGAGTCTATCCATCCTGATTACGACAAATTTCGACAACTTTGGAATTTTCCGGCACAGAAGAGTGTTCTGTTTTCCTGCTGTAAACAGTGTTTTTCAAGCTATCTCTTCAGTTTTCTCACAGGAGTTACTTATTTCCACTATTTCAAGTTAATCCTACTACTACAAATTGTAGCGACATGGAAACCGATGCTTTGAATAGTCGGATGGTTTCTTTAGCAGATTATATTGAGTTCCTTCAGTATAAAGCATGTAAGCAGACATCTTCTGAGATAGCTTCTGTTGTTCAAACAGGTAATAGCGTGACTTGTTTCTCCCAATCTTCATCCTGTGAGTCTTGGGTCATAATTCAGGTGCATCAGATCATATTTCTGGTAACAAATCTCTTTTCACTACTATTTCATATTTTCAATCTCTTCTAAAAGTCACAATGACCAATGGGTCTCAAACCATGGCAACTGCAATAGGTCAAGCAAGCCCACT